ACTGCCCAGATCTGTTATGTTCTATTCTATTCAGTGATTTCTAGACTAACAGAAGGATTTTAAAGTCTATTCTCTGAGCTACAGGGAGCCAATGGAAGGACTTCAAACTGATGTGCTCTACTTTCTCAGCTCTAGTGAGAACACAGGCAGCAGCGTTTTGGATCAGCTGTCTGATGGAACACTGATGTCTGATGTCCTCATAAGTTTATAGTTAGACTGTTATATAATATGTAACATTCCAACTTAATCAAATCCAATATAAATTAACATAATGTGTTATATATTAACACCATATGATTTAATCTAATGGTAGATATTTTTAGTTGTATTGCAATTTATAAAGTCCAAGAGTCCCAGAGTTTTTTAGTTTAACTCTACATCAATAAAACTAATTCATCCCTGAGCAATTATCACCCCATATGGATGACATTAACCAATATAATATAATATTATACAATACCATAAAATGTTATATTATTCTATCATATAATTTAATTTAGAATATTATAATATAATATCATATGATATAATATGACAAAGTAATATAATATCCTATCATAGTATAGTATAGAACATAATGTGACATATTATATGATATTACATTTCTATTCTATTTTTATGTAGTGGAAATAAAACCTTTAAGAATCTAATTACCTTTGAGTTAAAGGAAGATATAAATATTAATTTAACAGAGAAGTCGCACTGCGCCATCAAAGAGAAACTCTGCCTTGAAGAGTTTGTATGGAAAGTTTTCACTCCCGTAAAACTACACAGCATTTCAGGGCCATGAGACCGGGTTGATCTTCAGTATCTTCTCACTGAAGCGTCTGTCTCCTAACTCCCACATATCAAAGCTGATTCCCTCGCCTGCTGCCTGATTGCAGCAGAGTTTGTCAGAAGCTCAGAATGTAGGACCCAGAATTCAGGCAAGACAAACAGTGGAATACTTAAAATGCATTTATTCAAACAAAGATGTAAAGGATCAGCAGTGGCAGCGGCTGCAGCAGCGTCTGATGCAGGAACGTCTGTTGGAGAGAAACACAAATTAATAACAACGTTAATCTGACGGAGGATGACTATGAATGCGTGAGTCACTAACCTGGTTTGACAGTTCAGTCTGTGCCCAGAGAACGAGGATATTTCCAGCCGGTCGAACAGACGCAGCGGAGGCTGCCAGAGAGTTCCAGACGGAAGCCTAGAAGGCTGCAGAGCTGACCGGAGGTCAGATCTGAGCTGATGAAGCAAGGAAGTATAATCTAAAGGGCAAGGTCAAGAGGCAGATCCAGGTTCAGTCCACAGAAGAATCCAACAGGAGTCTAAAGACAGGCCAGGCAAACAGATCAGACAGGGATAGGCAGGCTCAAAGGTCTAAATACAAAAACATATCAGGACCAGGCAATCAGAACACTTTAGAAACGCTAGAGAACTCTCAACACCAGGCTCAAGAATAATCTGGCACTGATGGCTGGGACCAAGGAGTTTAAAGGCATACTGTGCAACATTTTTCAGTTAATTAATGTGTTCCGTAACGTTTTGGATGATTAAATGAGTCATTTCAGGTTGAACAAAGGTATTCTCGGCCGCCCTGGTGTTCTGTAGGGGAAATACCGCACTTGCAATTGCAGGAGCCCTCGGCCCGCACCCACAGGCTCAGAAGTCTCGTGCATCGCGAGAGTCGGTCTTGCTTTATGGCGAGAACTTGGCTAACTACAATCTTTGTTATTTAGACACATGCATAACAAATAATGTATGAAATGTATGGTGATTTGTTGCGTTCGCCTGTCTGCTAAGCTCAGAACAACTGCGCCTGGCTTGACGGAGAAACCAGGAGAACAGCTGAGCATATTTACGACAGTGCACTTTTACTTTCGCCCTCTGGGGGGAGCCTCGCTGGAAAATCAACACCGGTTGCATAGTATACCTTTAAAGAGAAGCAGGAGCAGGTGGATCAGATGAGCAGTAATGAGAAACAGGGCAAGACAGGTGAATGAAATGATCAAGACGGCCATCAGTGCCACAATCATGACATAGTTACCCCCAAGCTAACCAGCTTACAGCTGTGCAGCTACATAAACAAACTCTTTCTCATATTTCTCATTTACTGCATTCAAGCTGAACTTCTGCTGATATATGTTGTTTAACAGAATAGATTTATTGCCAAACACCATCGGCTAACGGTTATATTTCTGATGTGAATAGAACCTTGAGACTCTGAAGACCACGTGCACCATGCTGGAGGAACAGGTGGTGGAGCTGGAGAGCCTGAACGATGAGCTGCTGGAGAAGGAGAGACAATGGGAGGCCTGGAGGTCCACGCTGGAGGACGAGAAGAACCAGGCTGAGAGGAGGACCAGGGAGGTCCAGAGGCTGCTGGACACTGAGAAACAGAACAGGTGACAGCCTGCCGCCTCACTGTACGGCTGATAACTGAGGGGCTGTTTACCCACAAACAGGACGGAGGCCTCACTGTTTTTAAAGAAAAAAAACATGTTTTATTTCTCAGTAGATGTTATTATTAATGCTAGTTCCACCTACACAGAGACGGAACAAACAGGGCGTCTTCTCCTGCTTGTGCTGATTTATTTTAGGAAAGTTATTTTCTGTTTTTACTGGCAGGGAAGAAAACAAAAAACCTCTGGTTCAGTAAAAAGTTAGTTCCTGTTTGCTCCTACTCAAACAGATGAGTAAATAAAAGCCATGTATGACCACAGATATGATGAAAACACCTTAAAGATGAAGGTTTTTCTCTGCCTGTCAGGCTCCGTACCGAGCAGCGTTGCTCTGAGTCCCGTCAGGCTGTGGAGCAAGCCGTCAAAGAGCACAAAGCTGAGATCCTGGCCCTGCAGCAGGCCCTCAAGGACCAGAAACTCAAAGCCGAGAGCCTGGCAGACACTGTAAGCTTTCCCGCACAATGAAAGAAACCTTTTCGCTGTTCGTCCTGTTTGTTTCTAAAGTCGGCCGCATTTCTTGTGTTCCTCAGCTGAACGATTTGGAGAAGAAGCACTCCATGCTGGAGATGAATGCCCGCAGTCTGCAGCAGAAGCTGGAGAGCGAGCGGGACGTGAAGCAGAGGCTGCTGGAAGAAGTTCAGTTCCCCCGTTTCTGATGTTCATGACTCACCTTTGAAATCAACCCAAGGCTCGGCGCTCAGATGATGATTTAAACGGCCTGTTTTTCCCTCCACAGCAAGAGAAGCTGCAGCAGCAGCTGGACGCCCAGAAGACTCATATATTCCGGCTGACGCAGGGGCTGCAGGACGCTTTGGATCAGACCGACTTACTGAAAACCGAGCGGACGGACCTGGAGTACCAGCTGGAGAACATCCAGGTGCTTCTGCTCGGCATGTGCATGCAGATAAATCCTTCATGTTGAAATCAGCTCCCCCCACATTAACCTGGTTCAAACGTGACACAGTCCCCTCTCTGTCCACCCGTCCCCATGTCTCGGTGTCCCCTCTGTGTGAAGTGAAGTACTTGAGGAGAAATTCATGGCAGTAGTGATGTTCACTTAGCTCCACCTGCAGGCGGTATACTCTCATGAGAAGGTGAAAATGGAGGGAACCATCACCCAGCAGACCAAGCTCATAGACTTCCTCCAGTCCCAGGCCCATGGAGGCTCCAAGAAGAAAAAAGTAAGATGGATTAACATTCCAGGTCAGAGACGCTGAGCGCTTCCAGAGCCGCTCTCCACTCTTTTTCTCTGCTTGCTTTGTGTCCCTCAGGGCCTGTTTGGGCGACGGCGAGAGGACCTGATAGCAGCCATGGCAGCTCAGGCTCAGGCGCAGGGTCAGAGTCAGGGCCAAGGCCAGGTGTCCCCTGTGCCCCCCATCCAGCCCGTACCTCTGCAGTACAGCGACATGAAGGCGGCTCTGGATAAAGAGCGCACTCGATGCTCTGAGCTGGAAGATGCTCTGCAGAAAATGAGAGCGGAGCTGCGATCTCTGAGGGAAGAAGGTGGGATTGACCTACATTATTGTAGAGATCTGAATCTTTGCATTCAGTAAACTACTGGATGTCTGACATGTTTCCAGCCTACAGGATTCAGACAAACAGAGGTTGACTAATTGGTCACAGAAGTTTAGTTTAGACTCAGCAGACACAGAGCTGGTCATGTTTGTTAACATTCCTGATAAAAATGTTCCATAGATTAACAGTTTCACTGCAAAAATTGAACTCTGATTTTCATGCCGTCTCATTTCTTATTGAATTGAGGAGGTAATTGAGACACTTTGCCAATGGAAGAAGACAACTGACCAGATATAACAATTGCATTGTCTTATTTCAATTCTAATTATCTTATTTCTAAAGTAAAAATACTCATCCTATTGGCAAATCATCTTATGTATCTACTCAAAGAAAGGGTAAATACACTTAATTGTTTTACTTATTTCTAGATTGCTTTTGCAGTGTTTTCTGGTATCATCATTTTGCAGATTAGGAAAATCTAACCTTTAATTTCAGCAACTCTACTCAGATGAAAGAACCAACAATTTAAAGAAGAATCACTGTTAGCTTAACTATTGGAACTGCTACATTTAAACACACTGGAAAAAATGTTAATCTAAATAAGTCATTATTTCTTAAAATAAGTGCATTTTTCTTGAATTGAGGAGGTAAGTGAGACACTTTTCCAATGGAGCAAGACAATTTACATTTAAAATACGAAGGAATAATTGCATTGTCTTATTTCAAGTGCATATTATCTAATTATCTTATTTTAAAAGAAAAAATTATCTTATTTACCTTCTCAAATCAAGGGTTAATAAACTAAATTTAAAAATAGTTGATTTATATCCATGTAGTTTTTTGCAGTACTGATATATACCCGCAAAAAAAGTTTTTATTTTTTTATTTTACACTTTTTTTTCTTTATTTCCTTGGAACTATCTCTAAGATTTTGTTTCCCGGGGGTATAAATTGAAGGTGACACAGAGGTGCATTTTTAAAGCTCATGATTAGAGAGTTGCAGTACAAAGGGACATCTTGCACTGCATACACTGGAAAAATTATTGAGAAATAAGTAAAAAGTTCTTAAATTAAGGGTATTTACGCTTAATTTGAGTAGGTAAATGAAATAGTTTGCCAATGGAATGAGTATTTTTACTCTTAAAATAAGATAATTAGATAATAATTCAATTGTGTTTTCTTATTTTTAATGTAAATTGTCTTGTTCCATTGGCAAAATGTATCTTTTACCTCCTCAATCCAAGAACAAATACACCTATTTTAAGAAAAAATTACTTATCTAGGTTTGATTTTTTTCCAGTGTAAACGATTTAGAAATTAGTGAAAAATCTTAAATTAAGTGCATTTACCCTTAATTTGAGTGGGTAAAGGAGACTGCCCCCCAAGGGGAGGGGTTAAATGCAGAGAGTTAATTCCAGTTCTCTGTACTTATCACAGTGTAATGACAACAAAAAAACTTAGCCCCTCAGTTCAAGAACAAATGCACTTAAAAAATTCTTTAAAAAATACTTATTTTGATAGATAAACAAAAACTAAATAGATAAGTTTGACTTTTTAACTGGAACCAAATGTTTACATTAAAGTTTGGGCTTTTTGGTCCAAAATTTGGCCTGAGTGGAAAAGCTCCTCATGCCCAGAGTAGAACATGAGGGAGGATTAGTGATTTTTATGGGCATCCTCTGGACCATCCCTCCATCTTCTGTCACGATTATTAAAAGCTGGGTGGTGAGGGGTGCTGGTATCTATCTCCAGCTGTCTATAGGTAAGAGGGGGGTCCACCCTGGACCGGTTTCCAGTCCATCGCAGGGCTCCTCTGGACCAATAGATGAAGAAAGTTCCTAGCAGCTAATCTAATGCTGTAGGAAGATGGAGAAGATGTGAAGCTTTCCTTCAGACCAGAACAGCTTATCAGAGCAGGAACGTTCTACTGCTGTCCATCTACAGCACTCTGTGAGGAGGAGGCAGGAAATAAGCTAAAAGTCCTGTTAGTTTGTAAAAAAAAATAAAATGTTAGCATCTGGGGAATAATACGGAAGAGAATTAGGGCCACTGAAAAAAAAAAAAGTTTTATTTCAGTTTAACATTGGAAAAAAGTCAGAATTCTGACTTTTTCTCAGAATTCTTACAGCTAACAAACAT